CCACTTTATATTTTATATGTTTAAAAATACAAGCGGAAAGTAGAGAAGAGAAATATTGGAGGCATTTGGTAGCAGAACCAAGAAAAAACCATTTGGGAGGCAAATACTTAGATACACACAGGTGTTCCTCGACTTGTGATCACAATTGAACCCAAAATTCTCCTGGTAAATGAGACAGTTGTTAAATGAATTTTGCCCCATTTTACAACCTTTATTCCCACAGTTGTTAAGTTAGTAACATGGTGGCTAAGTGAATCTGGCTTTCCCGTTGATTTTGTTGTCAGAAGGTTGCAAAAGATGATTTACCTGACCCTGGGACCCTACAACCATCATAAATATGAGTCAGTTGCCAGGTACATGAATTTTGATCACGTGACTATAGGGGTGCTGCAGCAGTCATAAATGTGAAAAACAGGAATAAGTCACTGTTTTGAGTGCTTTGAATTGACACTAAACAAACTGTTATAAGTTGAGGAGTACCTGTAAAAATAGCCGCTTCTTTTGGTGTATGACTAAATTGATAACAAACAGAGAAAGAAAAATGATTTTTGGGAGCCTACCATCCAAAGATGAAACAATCTGCTCCATGCTGGGTTCAGGATGATTCCTCAGGAGGGAATACATAGACATCACCATCCCAGGAGTACAGAAGCCACACTGAGAGCCAAAACACTTTGCCAGCCTTTCCTGGAATCAAAATATCTGAATTTATGATCCACAGGAAAACATTATCTTGTAGATATATTTATTACTATTTTTTCATAGCCTGGACATGAATTAACTATTGTTGCAATGATTTATTCATGAAATATTATTCTTATGACCTTATTATTCAAACTCTATATTGTGGTTACAGATTTCTCCGCTGGTTGTTACGAAAAGCAATGAAGGATCAACTTTTACTTTTTTAAAAGAGAAAATGATGTTGTATATAAAACATGTCTAAACTGAGGCTACAGAAATTGTCACAACTGTTCTTTCTCCTCTGCTGCAGACACCGCGTGAATCTTGAGCAAAAGCTGCATTGCAAGGGCTGATGCCTGTACAAATTTTCACCACATGCAGTACAACTGCAAAAGCAATGCTACACTTGTTTTTCACTGCCTTAGACTATAGACTGCAGTGCAAGACTTAAGAAGAAATCTTCCTAATTGTTTTATCTCTGTATTACAAAGCTCCTACATGTCCACATTTTTTTATGCAGGACTAGTGCCCAACTTGACAATTTGCCATATTTTTACTATCACAATAAATGGAAATGTTTCTGAACATGGAGATCTCACCGTAAAGGACCCATGGCAACAGAGATCAGACAAGNTCTATTCCATTCTATACGTAAGTTACTGAGAGACATTTTATGATGGAGATGATATACAAGTCAACAAATAAATAACCCAAATATTAACGGCATCAAAATGCATTTTCTGAGTGCTTCCTTTCTGAATCAAGTTGGGTAGTTTTCAGTGAGAAGACTTAGGTTGTGTCTGATATCTATTTACTTTTATTTGGTGCCAAATGAACATCTTTCCTCCTTCCCTTTTAGTAGAACTTATCACACATTTAGAATTTGTGAGACTTATGATAGTGCTAAAAGAGATAGCTACTAAGGAGAAGTGGCTGTATTACCATGTTTCCACTATATTTATTTTAGATGTTGCAGCAAGTTCTATATTTAGGTTAGATATTGTGGGCACAAGTATTTTATTGTTTAGTAGTTCGGTCAATAATTTTCACTAATAAGTAATTTATAAGTATTCTAAGTGATTTCCTTCTAATCTTGTGGGTCGTTTCCTGAACACTTCTAATAAGCTGTGTTACTATAGCTTATATAATTTATTTTTTTCTCCTCTGCTAATTTATAGGCTTACAAGATGAAGAAAACGCACTTAAAGTAGGCATAGAGTATTCATTAAGGGAAATTAAGAGACTTGAAAGGCAAAAGGTAAGCAGGCATAATGTTTTTCTTACATTATGTTACTTTCTATTTCTGTGTGACCAACTTTTGATGGTTAATGGTTCCACTTAAACCTTTTGTTTTTTAAAATAATTTTCATTAGAGATTTTAAAATTAGTCAAAGTATTACAAATTGAAATAAAAAAATTAAAAATTAAAAATACAGACAGAAAAAGAAAATGAGACAATTAAATAGAAAAAAGAATATTTAAAGAAGTGCATTCCTATCTTCTGTTCAATAAGCATAAGCATAATTAGTATTTATTTACCTCCTTTGATGTTGTATTACATAAATCACTTCTTTCCATATTCTAACCCTTATCCAACCACAAATTCAAAAAATCATTAAATGTTTTGGTTCAGGATCAGCAAACAGTCCATAAACGGTTCTCAGAACGTTATAAAAATATTTATTTTAACCCTGATCAAATAGGTTAATTTTACATTCTTTTACATTAAAATGCTAGGATTTTACCTCCACCCAAATTTTCATTCTCTCATCTAAGTATTTTTATGTGTCTTTAACAACCCTCTTTTGCAAATCCANATAGATAGATAGATAGATACATACATGCATGCATACGTGCATATATACATTATAGTAGGGTGTCACATTTGTAAGTATTATTTTACATTTATTATGCTAGTAATTAATTATTGCATTTTATTTTAGTGTTGTTTTTAAATTTTCTGGTCCTTGACTAAATAAATTATTATAATTAGGTGTGGAAATGAGGCTCTGATGGAAGTAGTTTATTGGGGACGGTGGCTATCGAGACAAGGCCAGTGAAAGGACTTTCTGTGTTCCTCAGATCAACATTGTTAGAATACAGAAACAATCCTGTACCAATAATGTTAGAGTTCTTTAAGAGTAGAAAATGTTCTCTGCCAACTTTTCTAAAGGAACTGAGAAAACAACAACAGGTTTTCGCTTTAATCTCTTTAGAGTACATTAATTCTTTTTAAAAAATAAAAAGGCAAGCACTGTTCACAGAACGGAATCCTGCTGGCCACGCTCAATTTTCTTGTTCCAGATTAAGTATTGGAACCAATTAACACCTGGATATTTATGCAGGTGTTAGGCAAAGATCTTCCTCTGCTGTATTATTGAAAGGTGTGGTGAACATTTTTTTAATTTACGTGAAAAAACCCCCAGGGCAATTTAATTTAAACATTGTTACATTTGAGTCCTGTCAAAGAGTTAATCAACAAATTATACAAATCACAATACCATCCTTGTCAGAACGTGTCTCAGCACAAAACAGCTTTGGAAGGCAAAATGTTCAGACAATCTTTGGAAATAATTCCATTAAACTAATGAATTACAAAACCCCTGCATCATGCATCTTTTACAGCTGGTGAGATTTCACTTGACTAGTGAAGCAAACTAGTCTCCTCTTCCCTCTGAGAATTATATTATTAATATTATTAGATTTCATTCAAAATTAAATTACTTCTAAATATGGGTAGAAAATTGCTATTCCATCTTCTGAAATAGCAATGCATGGATATAGAAACATATCAACTCTTGATTCTGCAATCCTATGTCTATTTATGTGAAAATAAACTTTACTGAACACTTCTGATTCAACAGGGAAAAGATTCAGATACCATTGGATCAAGGATTTGGCAATTTCCAATCATTTTTCATAGCAAC